TATTGGAGAGCCAAGATGCTGGGGATCCCAAGCCCCCCTTTATCTTTAGGCATGCAGACAGTATCCCATGCTACCAAATGTAACTTATTAGCAGCAGATATGTCCCCAAAAAACAAGAACTTAGAGGCTACTTTTCTAAAAAATTTTATAACAGCCTTTGGTAAAATAGCTCCCCGAATCCAATAGGCTATGGAGTTTAACATAGTTAATTTGAGATACTATAATCTACCAGCTAATGATAACAGATTAGCATTCCATCCTGAAAGTTTCTTAGTAATTTCTTCCATGAGAGGAGAAAAATCAGAAATTTTAAGCCTCTTGAAAGATATAGGAATACCAAGATAAGTAGTGATATCTTTGGGAGCCAAGGTAAAGGCCGTACATATCATGTCCACATTCACAAAGTGTTTTGGTAGCATGATGGAGCTTTTATGAAGGTTCATATGCAGGCCAGAAGCATTAGAAAAACAGTTAATAATATGCTTTAGGTGCCTACAGTTGTTAAGACTAGCTTCTCCAAAAACAAGCAAATCATCCGCATATAGAAGACGACTAATCTTAAAATTACCGTATGTGATTCCCACAAAAGGCAGATGGTCAATAAGAGAGGAAAAAGCATCCATCACAATACAGAAGAGATACGGGCTTAGGGGACAACCCTGCCTTAACCCAGTCGAAGATGAAAAGTATCCCTCAAGAGCCCCTTTGATCACAATGGAGAAATTTACGTCAGAGATACAAGCCTTAATCCAGGAGATAAATAAGGGGGGAATACTTTTCTGAACAAGACTAGCCAGCACAAATTCCCTTGATACCGTATCAAAAGCCTTACGAATATCATACTTAGCACAAAAGATGTTTTTCTTCCTAGAATTAGCAAAAGAGAGAAGTTCTTGAGCCAAAATAATATTATCAGTGGAGATTCTACCATTAATGAATCCAGATTGAGTCTCCTTGACAATTAAAGGCATGATGGGCTTAAGCCTAGATGCCAGAATTTTTGAAACAATCTTGTATATCACATTACAAAGGGCAATTGGCCTGAAATCAGCAAAAGAGGATGCATGCTTGGACTTGGGAATTAGAGCTAAAGCCGTAGCTTTGATGCCAAGTGCTAGAGTGCCATTTACAAAAAAGAATTTAACAACCTTACAAACCCAAGGGCCAATAATGTGCCAGCTATGCTTGTAGAAGTAGTAATTGAAACCATCAGGGCCCGGGGAGGAGGAGGCAGCACCATCAAAAACAGATTGCCTAATTTCATCATCTGTAACAGGTAAAATAAGAGAATCGGCAAGAAGAGGTTGAAGTGTGTTACCAGATGGAAAGATGTCCATGTTCAAATCCTCAATAAGAGGAGGATTGAAAAGCTTATGGAAATGATTGATGATATCAGAAATTGCATCAGGCCTAGAGATATTAGAAGACGTTCCCAGATTAATAGCAGCATTATTGTAAGCTTTTCTGCGCCTAATTTTTGCATACAAAAACTTAAGGTTATCCTCTCCCTGAGAAAGCCACGAGGCCTTAGCCCGTTGGATGATCCAAGAAGAATGGAGAGAGGAGGTTTTAGAAATATTATAATTTATGCTCTTAAGTTGCCTAACCTTTTTTTGGGACATTAAGTTGCCTAACCAAGCACTACTAAAAAGAAGGCATAAAGACAGCATTAATTAGCAGCGGTTTTTAAACTGCTGCTATATGTCACCTATAGCAGCGGCTATAACCGCAGCTACAAAAATAAAAAAAATTTATCATATTTTTAAATGCGGTTTAAACCGCTGGCGTTAAACCCGGTTTAATCTTATAGTTGCCTACTCCATTTAACCGATTTGTGCCCTAGCCGCTCTCACATCGCATGGATACATGCCAGACGATTGACTTTTGTATTTGATTCTCTTTTTTTGATGAAATTCCATCTGTTCATTTAATTTTTTACTTGAATCAAGAGTTTGAATTACAGGTTATACATACACAAGTATCACCAAACATCCAATGACAAATTATGATAATTTATTCGTCAAAGATTGAAGTTAGAGAAGCGCATCAAGGCAGAGGACTGGGCTAAACACAAGGATGAATAGATCTTTAATTTTAAGTTTTGGTCATTGAATCTTATTTTAAATCAAGTTTCTTGAGGTGCTGGAACAGCCGCTGTTTAATCCAATGTGGATCGTAGGGAAGAAAAATATGAATAGAGTGATCAAAGCTTCAATTTGGACATAATAAGATGTAATTATATTTGTATAGTATTTTATTGATATTTGTAATTTGATAACAAATTTGTTTTTTTTTTCATAATATTTTTTTTAATTTATTCTATCTTTTAGCAGCGATTTTAACACATACAAAAAACGCTGCTATAGCATTCCTACAGCAGCACTAATGAAACCGCTGCTGAAGCCTTTGCAGCGAACGCAAATACAGCGGATTTGCAGCGGTTTTTAAACCGCTGCAAATAAATTACTATGTGTTTAAACCGCTGCAATAGGTCACAAAAAGTGCTGCGAAAGCTTATTTTTTTAGTAGTGAAAAGTCATCATTACGAGGTTCTAGATTAATCTGCTCAAGACATTCAAGTTGCCTGCGGTGCAAATATTTATTATATTATATCCCTAATAGCTGTACTTGATTCTCTCCTCATACAGCCAGGAGAAGCCGTGCAATTTTTGGCATGCTGAGAGCTGATGGTGAAGCAAAAGACACCAATTAAACACTATCCAAATAAACTTGCAACGTCTGAGCCACCAAAACCAATAGGAAAATGCCATATGCGCCAGCCCAGCTTGCGCGGACCAATATAAATAAAGTGAATTTGATTAAATAGTAAGATAATTTAGAAAAATCTTAAAAAATTTAACTATTGTTAAAAAAAATCAATCAAATTATACATACATGATATTAGTTAAGTTTTCTTTAATTATTTAAATGTAAAAATAATATTTTAAAATTATAGAAAATTAATTTAAATGTTATATATAGATAAAAAAATAATAATAATTTATTACATTTAGTTTTATTGAGTTTTAGTTTTTATTCAAATACAGCGGATTTGCAGCGGTTTTTAAACCGCTACAAATAAATTACTATGTGTTTAAACCGCTGCAATAGGTCACAAAAAGTGCTGCGAAAGCTTATTTTTTTAATAGTGAAAGTCATCATTATGAGGTTCTAGATTAATCTGCTCAAGACATTCAAGTTGCCTGCGGTGCAAATATTTATTATATTATATCCCTAATAGCTGTACTTGATTCTTTCCTCATACAGCCAGGAGAAGCCGTGCAATTTTTGGCATGCTGAGAGCTGATGGTGAAGCAAAAGACACCAATTAAACACTATCCAAATAAACTTGCAACGTCTGAGCCACCAAAACCAATAGGAAAATGCCATATGCGCCAGCCCAGCTTGCGCGGACCAATATAAATAAAGTGAATTTGATTAAATAGTAAGATAATTTAGAAAAATCTTAAAAAATTTAACTATTGTTAAAAAAAATCAATCAAATTATACATACATGATATTAGTTAAGTTTTCTTTAATTATTTAAATGTAAAAATAATATTTTAAAATTATAGAAAATTAATTTAAATGTTATATATAGATAAAAAATAATAATAATTTATTACATTTAGTTTTATTGAGTTTTAGTTTTTATTATGCTAAGATATATAGAATCATTTTAAAGAAACATTTATTAAATTTAATTTAATATTAAATGAAAAAAAAATTATTTAAATATAATTTATTTTAATTATTTAATTATTTATCATCTTTTGTAAAAAAAACCGAGAATAAATGCATTGATGAATGAATAAAAAAAGAAAATAATAATAATAATAACAATAATAATACATAAATAGTATGTATTCAGATTGAATATCTGCATATATTTACTTAATATTAAAATATAACTTAAATATTGAATAAATTATAAAGTCCATTTAATTTAGCACACATCATTTGTTGGCCATGCATCTAATTCACTTTCATGCATAGAAAATATATATATTACCAGTAATTATTTGATATTAAAATAAGTAATAATTTTAATATTAAATAAATAAATTATTTAAAATACAAAATATCCAAAATTATATATTATCATACATTGCATATATTTAGCATATTCCGGCTTAAAAAAAGGATAATTACACTTGTATCCCTTTATTCCTTTCGTAAAAAAATAAAAGGAATGAAGTCTTAATTATGCATCCATGCATGTCATGCATTCATATACATAATACATGCCACCATATCATGCATGCATCTAGAAGCAAATTGAAGTTCTGTTTATCAATAATAATTCCCTAAACATGATTACGTGCATGCAGCATGCTTACACATTCATATGCCGCAGACACACATATCATGATGCATCTTATTGCAATGATACAAGCCCCGTGGCTGTGCCGTGATGTGTTCAGAGTTGCAATTTCATTGTTTTATTACTGGAATCCATTTTGACAGGAGATCTTAAAGTAGCAGACCTCAGGACTTATGGCATGCATCTCCAAAAAAAAAATCCTTTTTTTCACTCCAAAATGCAGTGAAATTAAAAAATATTGTGATTCATCTCCAATCTAACTCTATTTTACACGCTTATGTGAAGATAATCGTCTTTCTCCTCTTTCGTGTGTTTATTCCACAAATCTGGTTGAGACACAGAAAAATCACGTAGGTGAATACTGCAACGTCAATATTGACGTCGCACTATTCACCTGCAAGCAAATAACGGAAGATTTGTCATTCGGGTGGAGTGACTGAACGACACCATAAACATATTTGACGGTTAGAGATGCCCTAAGGAGGATAGTTAATTAAGAATTTACACAAATTTTTTTTTTTACTTATCTTTTGAAGCTTTAGAGTACTTTTATTTCTTTATATAGCAATTTCAATATTTTAAAACTGATATCAATGTTCTTCTGGTAAACTTAACCCCTAAAAACTCTAATTTAAAATGTGAAGTTATATGTTATTTAAAGATCAAATTTGCTTACCTGGAACATGACAAGAGGCACATCAGCACGGTCGGAGCCATCAGCAAAAGGAACAAGAAGCCGTCGGAGCTCATCGGAAGGCGTGAAATCGCCAAAATCTTCCACCGCCGATTCAGATCGGGCGACGACAAAGAGGGCACCCTCAGCTGTGCATCGGATGCAAAGACGGCCGTCGGTTCCTGAAACGAGGCGGCCAGCGAGAGGGTAGAATGAGACGAGGGTGCGGGCTAGGGTGGCCTTGAGAGTTTCCGGCGAGAAGAATCCGGCGTCATTGAGGGGGCGGCGGTAGAAGTAGACGGTGGCGGTGTGAGACCGCACGGCAAGGAGGTCGAGGTTGGAGAGCCAGATATCCTCCGCCGGGGTCTCCACGCTGGGGATCACTAGTCCCTTTTCGATGATTTCGATCGGCGGATAGGCTCCCATTTTTCAGTTCGCTTTGGTGGAATACTTTTTCCACTTAGAGGTTTCGGTAGAGATTTTATAGCTATGCAGATAAACTTTACGGTTTTAGTGCTGCGGGTTGGTGTAATTCTTATGTGTGTGCATATATATTTATATTAGATTAAATTGAAAAATAATATTAGATATATAAATATTTTGATATGATTGAGTAATTAAAATGATATAAAATAAAATAAAAATTTAACTATTAGATATATAAATATATAAGAATTATGTGATAGATGTGAATCCTCCATGTCTTTTATATAAAAGTGATAATTCACTTCAGAATATTTTTGTTGTTTGAAAAATGAATACAATGTAAAATAGAATACAATGAAAAATGAAAGCCTTATGTTTGTAACATTTGAAATTATTTGAATGAGTGTAAAATAAATATAAATGATTATGACTTTTATTTGGCTTCAAGTAAAATGAATGTATTATAAAATTCAATGATGTTGGTGCCTGTAGTTTGGAGGTTGACTCGCGTGATGGCCTCGGACGGTGCAGCAATTGGTTATTGCCAACTATGGAGGTGAGTAGTGATAGGTGTCAAGAAGTTGCTGATAGCTTTGGTGGTGGTGATACAGCGAGCCATCGTATTAGACGGCGGCAAGCGAATAGTCAATGATGGCAAGCCAAATATGACAACAACGAGATGTGATGGACAACGGTGGCAATGAAAGACTACATTGGGCTGGTGGGTAACAACGACTTGCTTTGACAATGATAGAATTTACAATATACGTAAAAAACACTTCAAAATTAAAATATATGATGAATTTCAACAATTTTAAAATTTTTATACATATTTATTTTGTTTCACATCATACATCAATATTTTTTTTTAAAAATAGTGTATTTGAATTACTTTACATCCCTTTTCTTTCAAACAAAATAGTTCCTTTGTTTTTATAATCATACAAAAATAAAAATTGTTTCAAAAATTCTAGATCACTAGCGCTTTCAAACTTTAATTCTTGACTTAATTATTTAATTCTTAAAACATGCTTTGTGATTCATAAATAATTTATATATATATGTGTGTGTGTTACATTCTTATGTACTAGTTTGATATTTAAGAAATAGTTATTCATACATATTTGCATTCTAAAATAAGGTTTGATTGGTTGGCTAGATGGAGGATTCAAGAACTATTCATGAGAATTTTTTTGATGAGCATTAGCAAGTGGGCGGTGATGATAATGTGGTATAGTCATCTAATGATGCATGTAATGATGGTTCAGAAACTACTAAAAAGCGTAGAAGAATGACATCAACATTTTGTGATCATTTTGAGATATTGTTTAACGTCAAAGATGTAAATGTAAGAAATATATATGATGCACAATATCTATGTGATAGTAAAAATGACACTAATAATTTAAGGCGTCACTTACAAAATTATAATAAAAGATATATGTGAGATATAGGCCAGCTTATATTGCAAACCAACACTAACATATCTATCTCTATAGATGATTGTAAGTTTGAATTTGCATAATTTGATGATTTATTTATTGCTTGTATCATCATGCATGATTTGTCCTTTCAATGTGTTGGCATTCAAGCACTTTTGTTGTATCTTCTTCGAGACCTTCAAATATTTCTTAGGAATATTGAAAAGAGTGATTGTAAGAAATTATTCACTAAAGAAAAAACTCTATAAGATCACAGTTATCAAAGTGCACTAGTAGATTTTGTCTAACATCAGACTTACAGACGTCAATAAACATTGATGGATTTATTTTCTTAAGGGTGTATTTTATTGATAATGATTGACATCTACATAAAAAAGATCATAAGTTTTTCTTTCATGACACCCCCTCATATATCGATATTTGAGAAGTTACAATATCTTGTGCTTGAATGAAAAATAGAGTCCAAGCTCTTCAATATTACTTTGGATAATGCCTCTGCAAACAAAGTTTATGTAGACTTATTGAGAAATCAGCTTAATTAATAAGGTGCTTTGAGGGATTTGCAAGAAAGCAGAAATTTCTAGATTGTGTTAAGCATATTTATTTAGAATCGAAAAGAGATCTTAGCCAAGATGTTCCAATAAGATGGAACTCTAGTTTCATAATACTTGATAGTGTTATATACTATCGAAGAGCTTTCGTACATCTGGAGTTGTGTGATTTAAACTATAAAGCTTATCCTATTGTTGCAGAATGGGAGAGAGTAAAAGCTATTTGTACCTTTCAATCTCCTTTATGTGAAATTACATGTGTAATATTTGGCATGAAGTGTCCAATAACAAATCTTTACTTTCCTTTCATTTCAACTGCTTATGTAACTTTAAAATATGAACTTTCATTTAGTCATGACTACATTAAAAGAATAATTGTATGGATTATTGAAAATTTTGAAAAGTATTGGTTAGAGTTTAGTGACATATTGGCGATATCAATTATTCTAGATACTCGATATAAATTTACATTTGTAGAGTGGTGCAACAGAAAATTGTATGAAGTTAATTATGCATTCGAATTAAAAAAAAAGTAAGAGATAGATTATTCTCATTATTTGCAAACTATATAAGGGGAAGTGGTGAAAGTTCCAATGCAACACAGAGGAGACATAATGATGTCTGTAGAAGCTCTTTTTTTACTATCATTAAGTCAGAATTTCTTCAAGTATTTGCTATACTACAATCATTTTTTCAACTATTCATATTAGTGTTTTAGTTTGATCAATAAATTTTGAGATTCCAAAATATTATTTTGATTCGTTCTAAGAGAAAGTCATTTTGCCTAAAAAGTCAGAATTTGAAGTCTACCTCATTGAACCTAAACTTGATAGGAAAATTGTATTAGAAATATTACAATTTTGAAAAGGCAATCAATATAGATTTCCTGAAGTCTCTGCAATGGCTCGTGATGTGTTGTGCATTTTCATAACAATAGTAGCCTATGAATAGTGTCTTTAGTAATATTGGTAGAATCTTGGATCAGTATCGAAGTGCACTTAAACTTGATATAGTAGAGGCCTTAGTTTGTGTCAAGGATTGGTTGTATGGAGAAAATGGTGCAGTATCTTATAACCTATTGAATTCCTCCTTTATTTATTTATTCATTCACTTTAATTATTTATGAGGTTAATTTTATATCTTGCAGCAAAAAAATTATCTTGAACTTGAAGCTGTGATAGAAGATATCCAAAATTTAAATGTTAGCCAAGTCGAAGAAGATATTGGTGAAAGTTCGGTCATTAGATAATTTTACATCCTCTTTAAACATGTTTGTGTTAGCTATTGGCCTGTTACTGGATGTGAATTGAATTTATTATAGGCAGTTGGGTCTTGGGTGTTGGTTGTTAGCTTGTTGATGGTTGTGAGGTGATGGATGCAGGCTTATTGTTGGCTATGAACTGAATTTATTATCAACTTATGGTCTGTTGCAATTCTAAACTGAATTGGTTGTTGATCTTATTATTTTTATATATGTGATATAAACTAAGCTAACACCTGGTTCAATGTTGATGATTTAGTGATTTTGTACTAGTAGCCTATTAGTTGAAGCCTCTTATAGCTGTTGGATAATTTATTTTTGGGTTGTAGTGATTTCTAAATGGTTGGTTGTTATTGAACTAGCTTGTGAACTTGTTGGCTTAACTTATATTGCTGAACTTATATTGTCGGTCGCTACTCAATAGTGGTTGTTGTTGAACTTGTGTTTATGTGTTACTTATTAGCTACTTAGCTATTGTTGAACTTGTTACTTATTAGCTATCCTTGGCTATTTTTCAGGCTGTTTGTAGCCTGCAGTAATCTTATGATTGTTGTTTTCGAAACTTGTCTATTTGCCTGGTTGAGTGTTGGTGAGTTCAAGTAATGAGAGCTTAAGCAATGATGATAAACCCTTCTAAATTAAATGTAAGAGTCCCTTAAGACAAAAACTAAAAACTATTGCAATCATATGGCATTTGTATTAAGGTAGCCTGAGCAGATACTATCAAATTTAAACTAAGCTTAACTTAATACAAAGTGCAAAGGGTCGCCTTGAATGGTAATAGAAATATTCATTACTCACATTTTCTTAGTTGCTAAATGCATTAAAAGATAAATCTGAGCTTCATATTAACTTAAGCATTTTATTTGAATTCTATCTAACCATTTTTTTGCAGTTTATTCTACTTGAAGTTTCGAAGATAGATTTTTCTCCATTTTCCAGCAGTAAATTCAAAGATTTGTAATTTGTTTCTCCTGTATTGACTGTAATGTAAAAAAGTTTGGCTGTAAGCTTGTAATGCAAACTGATCTATTGCAAAATTATCTGTTGAATTTGTTCTCACACCGTCTGCACTCCGCACCTAATAATTGAGAAATTATTAGGTACGGAGTGCGGACGGGAGAATCGTCTGCACACTAGTATAAAACAGTGTTCGGTACCGTTCGGTACCACTCGGTACCGCTGGGTACCGCTCGGTACTCTGATATTGGTGAAAGTTCGGTCATTAGATAATTTTACATCCTCTTTAAACATGTTTGTGTTAGCTATTGGCCTATTACTGGATGTGAATTGAATTTATTATAGGCATTTGGGTCTTGGGTGTTGGTTGTTAGCTTGTTGATGGTTGTGAGGTGATGGTTGCAGGCTTATTGTTGGCTATGAACTGAATTTATTATCAACTTATGGTCTGTTGCAAATCTAAAAATTAGTCTCTGTTAAGAAAATTTTGAAGTAGCACTAGTATTTTTTTTAAAATAGTAAACCAACTTAAATTTGAATTTTTTATACAGTAAACAGTTTATTATTATTATTTTTTTTAAAGAAGTTGGTTTTCAAGGTCATTTCGAGTTGACCCGATGCTTGAGCGGAGCAAATTCGGGCTAAGAAAATAGCCCCCAAACTCTAATTGGGTCGGGTCAAAATAAGGCGTGTTGAAGTCCAGTTCAACCCGAATCGGACCGCCGACCTGCTTTGACACCCTATCTTATCTCAGTGAGAAATAAAACAAAAGATCTAACTATTTCAAATGATTTTATTAAACACGTTTATTCTCTTGAAAAATAAAACAAAACAAATCATCACTGTGATTCCAGTGAGAAATAAAACAGGAAGGGAACTTGTGAAGACTTCCGACTCGGAAAGACAGAAACACAAACAATTTCAAGATATGACTGAGAACTGATTTAAAATAAAGATATTCCGGTTCACAAGAGCCAAACCGGTTCAGTTATGAGCCGAACCAGCACTCCCAATGTCTTCATAAAATATCTCCTTGAACCTTCCCATTTTACCCTCCTCCATTGTCATCACAACCGAAACGCCTCCTTCTTCCTCCTCCTCCGGCGAGCTCGGCATAAGATAAGCCAAGCCACCGAACTGCATACACGCTCTTCCCATATAAACCGGCTTCCCCCACCCGAAATCCGCATCATAAACCGGCATTCCCATCCAACTAACCACCCACAAATCCGTCTGCGGCATAACCCACCCATCTTTCCTCAGCCCAACATCATTCACTTTCTCCTCCAAGTAATCCACCAACGACCTTATAAACTCATCATCAAGTGCCTTCACCGCATCGTCAATCTTCGCGGCCGCTCCAAGCTCCGACAGTACCTCCCCTGCCGTGGCCTTCGCCGACGTGCGGAAGACGGCATTGCCCAGGTAGCCGTCGGGGAGAGGCGGTCGCAGGCGGGTACGGGTGTCGGCGGCAATGTAGATTCGAGTCGAGCAGGATGGGTCGAGCCCACGGGCTTTGCAGGCGGAGCGCCAGATGTGGGAGACGACGGCTTTGAAGGTGGAAAGAGGGGGTTTAGGATTGTTTTTGTTGGGGGTGGTTTTGAGAAGGGAGAGATGGTGGTTGGAGAGTTTGAGGATGGCGGAGGTGAAGGGAGGGTTAGTGGAGGAAGGAGCAGACTGTGTGGATTGGGTGGTGTAGCAGTCGATTTGGGTGGTGGAGGTTATGGATGGAGGGGAGCGGGCTCGGAGGATGGTGCGGTTGACGGACGGGAGGATGGGAATTTGAGTGTCGGTGTGGGTGATTCTGGCCCACGAATTTATAAAGTGGAGGGATCCGAGACCGTCGGCGGCGGTGTGGTGAATAGCCGTGCCAAGGCAGACGCCGCCGCACCGGAAGAAGGTTAGCTGCAAGTCGGTTGGCGGAAATTTTGAATTAGCCATCCATCCTCAATTATCAAAGAGAGCAATTTTAGAAAAGAAAAGAAAAGAAAAATGCCGTACTTTATTGCCATTTTACCAAATCCGATAAGCGGGACAATATTTTATATATCCTCACCCGACAAGCAACATGTGTGCCTTAATGATATAAACGGTTCAACCATCTTTGGCTATGAAAAATCAACGAGTTTTTGTCGTTTGTCTTTATCTATATTACTGTGTAATAAATAGAAAGTTTTTATTTTTTTGTCCAGTGATATATTTAATCTTAAAAATTAATATATTAAGGACTTTTAGAAAAATGTAAAAACTATTTGAATAATTGAACGTGCCTTCAATAGAGAGCTCTTATTTCAACTCCGTAAGCTCACTAAAGCTCTTTCATAAATAAAAAATTGAGATAAAGATCTTTTTAAAACAGTTTTATTTTACTTAAAAAAATGATTTAAGAAATAATAAGAAAATAGTTCCAAACAAAATCAAAATATGGGCATAAGCAATACCCTTTCTATATATAATGAATTCATCCAAAATTCAAAAAATAAGTAATCTCATTTTAATATGTTGGTTAAGAGTTTTGATTGTCAATTAAGAGTTTTTAAATTTAAATGATATGTGTGTAAATTTATCTTAATTGATCTAAATACCCCAAAAAAATAAAAATTTCAAAGAATAACAGAATGCAAAAGAACGAAGATAACAGTTACAGGTATATAATGTTTGTAAATTTCATTATAGAATTTCAACAAGAATGAGAGGTACCAATGGTCACAGCTCACCTTGACTTGTTGGTTGTTTCGACTAAGAGGTCTTGTATTCGAGTTTGTGTATGCATTGTATGTACGAATTTGTCTTAAATGGCCTAAATGTCCCAAAAAAAAAGAGGCACCGATGGTGCTGAATGCAATGGATAGTTAGCGTTGAATGGTTGAGATGAAGTGTTGAAAAAGGTTGCTGCATGTGCGTAGTGCACTAGAAAATTAGAGTGGAATCCGATAATAAAATCGTTAATGTTGCTTATGAATGCGCTTATCCTTAACATCTAAGGCTTCATTTGGGGTGACTTTTTTATTGCTTCTTAGAGCAGATTTTTAGTACAAAAATTAAAATTTTATAATAAAAAATTATTTTAAGAAGCAGTAAAAAAAGTAATCCCACACGAAGCCTAAGCTTCCGATTGGGACGACTTTTTTATTGCTTTATAAAATAATTTTTTAGTACAAAAATTTTAATTTTGGTACAATAAAGTTGCTTCAAGAAGTAGCAAGAAAGTCACCCCAAACAATGCCTAATACATCCATTCAACAGTAATTAAGTATTGTGCTCTGTACCATTAGATCAACGTATTTATATCCATCACTGTTGCTGAAAATCTGTAATGAAACCTGCAAGTATTATATCCATGTAACTATTTTGCTTTGCTTCTTCTCTGCATTATGCTTTTCCCAGTTCCCAGTTTTATGAATTCTCCTAAAGTCATTACTGTTGCTGCCGATCGGTGTGATTATCCTTAACAAAATAATTATAAAACTTAATTTACTTCTAATTACAAAGTTAAGCCAATTCTTTTCTTAATTTGTTTTGTCTTCTAGAAAACCGAAACATGTTTGATTTATTTTGACCTGAACTGGTATTTTCCCTTTGCTTCAATCCTACTCAATCGCGCTGTAACTTTTGGCAACTTCAAAAACTATTAATGCAATCACTAAATTGATTATGAGCGTCAGTTCCATGCAAAAGTTATTTTTCTAATGGAAAATAATAATAATAATAATATGCATGAATTTTATAAAAGTGTTTTAATTTTAATTTGAAATAAATCAAATATGTTAAAATTTATTTTATATTTATTACGGCATATTACAAATATATTAAAATATGATGATTGAAGGCCAATATAAAAGTAGAAAGTTGGAGCATTTTGCCATTTTCAACGTGTGTGATTTTAAAATCTTCAGTCTTTAATGATTTTTAAATACATGAAAATAAAAATATCAAGTTATTTCAAAATTCTTAATTTTTCTTTTATTTATTTAAAACTAAATGTTTTTAATTTTAAAAAATAAAAATAAACACTTTTTTTATTCATATAAATCAAATACATGAACTTCGAAACTAAGATCCTTCAATTGATAGCAAAAGCTTCAAACTTAAAGAGCAAGAAGATCTATTTTGGAGCAATGATGTTAATCAAATGAAGATTGAATGGAGTCTTTAGGCACCTTTTCAGAATTTTTTTTTTCTTGCATCTTTTTTATCATATTATATAATTTTTTGAGATATCAAAGAAATTTAGTATGGCACTCAAATTTATAAAAAAAAATAAATTTTTTGAGAAAAATACAAATAATTTTATTTAGAAAGAAAAAGTGATAATAATAAGTTCGATCTCCTAAAGTCATGGGCGGATCCCCATATTAGTGAGGGGGGCAAATGCCCACCCTCAAAATTTTTTTTAAAAATTTTAGAGGGTATTTTTTGGAATATTTTTGGTATTTTGGATATTTTGCCCCCTCTCAAAAAAAATTTTTGTCCTAATTTTATCAATCATAATCATTTTTGTCCATCCCCTACCAAAATTTTTTTTTTGCCCAACCTAAAAAAAGAAGCTAGATCCGCCCCTGCCTAAAGTTATGATTTTTTTGTCCTTTAGCCAGTGATAAGTCAGGAATGTTTTTGTAGTAGGAGTGCAAATTAATTTTTTTAAATATTTTCTCAAAATTTTCATACAAAATTTAGGCCAGCGTTAGCAGTTAAAAAAAAGGAATAAAATAAAATAAAAAGAAACAATTTTAGGTGGCCATGCGAAGTGAGCTTACCTGTAACAGCACAAGCGGCATATCAGCCTCGTCGGCGCCATCAACACAAGGAACAAGAAGCCGCCGGAACTCATCGGAAGGTGCAAAATCCCCGAAATCTTCAACGGCCGATTCTGATTTTGCGACGACAAAGAGGGCACCCTCGGCCGTGCATCGGATCCAAGGACGACCGTCGGCTCCGGAAACGAGGCGGCCGGCGAGAGGGTAGAATGGAACGAGCGCGCGAGCTAGGCTGGCCTTGAGTGTTTCTGGCAAGAAGAATCCGTCGTCATTGAAGGGGCGGCGGTAGAAGTAGACCGTCGGGGTGTGGTGGCGTGTGGCGAGGAGGTCGAGGTTGGAGAGCCAGATTTCCTTCGCCGGGGTTTCCTCGCTGGGGACTACAAGTCCCTTTTCCAGGATTTCGATCGTCGGATACACCCCCATTCTTCACTTCACTTCGCTTACTGCAGAGGGAAGAAGCTCAATAGATTTTATTATAATAATGCGGAAGGAGATGATGGTTTATATAGATGCCTATTCATTAGGCTGATAACAGTTTGAAAATTTTATTATAAATGTCTTAAATTCATAATTTTTTAATATTTTATCTCTTACGTGAAGAGGTGTTCAATTTTTCACCATATATTTTCATAAATATAATAAAATGAATTTATATATCAAAATTATGTTTATTTATATGGTTTTTTTTCCTCCATTAAATTTTATTAAGAGTGAAACTTTTATTTAGATTTAATAAAAAATAACAGTTTTAATACAATATTATGCATATATGTAATTTATAAAAATTTATAATAAGTATTTGCTCAGTGAGAAGCCGTGCAATAAAACTAAGATGATTTTAAGAAAATAATTCATAAATTCCCAAACAAATTTTAGTTAAAAGTCTTCTTTTGAAAATGCAAAATTGTAAAATTAGAATGGGCTAAAAATGCCAAAAGTTACCAACCAATTATTTTGATTCATTAAACCTCTAAAGTAAAATCCATCACGTAACTTGTGAGTGTTGGGGATTTCTATAAGTTGATCCATATACTTATACATATAAATAAAATTTTATACATTATAGGCTATCTAAAATTAAGCCAATTAAATTTGTGATATATTTAAGTATTAAATTATTATTTGGCTTATGTGGCTTCTCAATTAAATTTTGTATGAAATTAATTTGTGTAGATGCCAGATATTTATTTTATTTTAATGATGGACTGAAATAAAATATTTACAATTAAAGTATAAAAGGGTCGTGGTCCCCATTTAAGCGGTTAGCTAGTTCTCATTTCTCTCATTTTCACATCTTGAGTGAAAAGAATGGGTCCCTTGCTCTCTTGGAGAATGTCGCTGTAAACGTGGAAGACCGAAAACCTCAATTCTGCATTTCAATGATTTCATGCATGTACACTTCCGAAAATTCTTCTCGATGATTTGACATACCTTTCGGAGACGATCGAATTATTACTTTTTGTCTCTAATGATTCCTAACAGTGAGATCGTCATAAAAAATATTTAGTCATAGTGATTGATCAACACATTGTTGTTTTATGCTTCACTCATACAAGTTTTTTATTGGGTGATAAATATATTTCTTATTTAATTTTAAATGCAACAAAACAATTTTAAAATTTTCAATGTTGAAGCGAAGCTCAAATAAAAAGAAATATTTGTTAGAATTCAAAAAAATTATTTGCCCCCCCTATAAAAACTTTTTGGCTCTGCGACTGCATCCCAAGTTCCTATCATTTCCATGAAGCACAGCACACTCTTGCGACCTCTTCACATTTCCACCGTGGTACTCGACTTTGTCGGCGAAGAAAAAAATCCCTCCGGTGACTGTATATCGAGTCAAGTTTCGAGCCTGTGTTCAATTATGTTTGAGCCGAGTTCGAGCTCATCCGCTGGGCTCGATTGGAGCTCGAGCTCAAATTTGAGCTATTTATTTGAGTGACGAGTCAAGCTTGAGTTTGCTGTGAGCCGAGATCAACATAAGCTATTCATGTACTGGCAGATGAAAACACATGAGTTCCCTAAAACTTTTTGAAAAATTAAATAATTAAAAGCTTTGGTCGAAATATATTAATTAAATGTTTAATTGGGATGAATATTTAAATTATTAGGATTTATCATAAGGTCCTGCTAATAAAAATTTAATATAATTACTCATATATGATATGTCTTCAAAAAATCATTCTTGACCGGGCACAAATCTCAAGGAAAAATTAAGTTGGAAGCTTAAAAAATTAAATCGGAAGCCATATGAACTCCAATTTCAGAAAACTTATAGTCAAACTGAGCGTCTCAAAAATACGAACCCAACGACACCAAATTTAACTCAGCCCGAGCACAAATGGGTTTGAATCGAACACCTGAAGCGCTGTTGTAAGGTTTAAACCATGATTTGGATTACCAAATAGTTTTCAAACATGGCATGCATGCTTATAGTCAAATTGAGCGCCTCGACGAGACAAATCCAACGAGCCCAAGATCGTTGAATTTCAATATCATTAAGACCTTCAAATGTTTCACGAACGGTTCATGATCTAGAGATTCAATATTAGCCGTCTATCCAAACCGCTCCCCATTTTCCCTTAATCCTCTTCTTATTATGGGTCATGCCACTCTTATAAAACTATAAAGAGCTCCTCATTTCTCTTAAGAGGGGACCTAAAATAAGGAGGAGGAGAGAAGAGAAGAAGGGAAGGAGGGAAGAAACTCCTCATCAACCACCGCCGGAGTTCCGCCCGACGTTCAAGTAATGTCGTAGTTTCGCCCAACATTCAAGTGACACTGGAGTTCCACTCGACGTTCAAGTGACGTCGGAGTTATGCCTGACTTTAAAGTGACGCTGGAGTTCCGCTTGACTTTCAAGTGATGTAGAAGTTCCGCCCAACTTTCAAATAACGTCGAAACTCCACCCGATCTCCAAGTGACATCAGAATTCTGTCCAATCTCCAAGTTACTTTGGGATTCAGCTCGAATACCCAACGTCGTTGAATCTCAAACTCTTGTTTGTAATTGAATTTCAATCCGGGAGTGAATTATTATAATATAATTGTCCTAAATTTTAATGACAAGTCAGTCTCTTGTACCTCAAGCAAACACTAGTGGAATTCTTTCAACTGGGCGTGACCTCATGATTTTTCCCTTTCCAGGGCTTTTCACATAAAAATCCTAATGCTCTTTCATCTTCTATTTATGTGCTGGATATCGTGTACAACGCTGAGACGAAAACTTTCTAACTCTATCGCTGCGTATATTCTAGCCCGCAACAATTATAATTATTTGCAAAATTTCAATGATGTTGAAATTCTTATTAACTAAATTTTAATTTGAATATTCTTGAAATTTTTGTTCATGAATAATCTATGATTGATGCATCACTTGCAGAGGGGCTGCCTAAGAAAATTTTCCTTGATATTGATTCAATAATTAGGAGAAGACCTCAACCAAATAGAAAATAATATTGGCTCAGTTTGGAAATCATATCTGCTCTACATCTCCTTCCTCTGTTACGCTATTCCATTCCCCCTTCCCCTTTGACTCTGCCAGAGAAACATTCCTCTCTACTTCATGAAATCCCCGCTCACCTCCTGTACCTCTAATTAGGGGTGTTCATTTTTGACACGACACGAAAACATGATCTGACTCAACCAGAAAATTTTGATTTCGGGTCGACCTGTTTAACAAATGGGTCGAGTTCAAATTATAATTCTCATTTCATCTGAAAAATGGGTTGTGTCTGGGTTAACCTGCCAATCCGAAAATGACCTATGTGCAGCATTGTGTGTCCTCCAACTCCCAGCTTGCAGTCCCGCCGCATTGCATCACTCTTGTAGCTTGCTTGCGGCCTGCCTCGCCCCCGACCCCCATGCTCATGCAGGCAGCCATGCAGCCTCGCCCTCACCAAATCATGGTCTCATCTCACTCGCTCGTAGCCTCGTCCACGCCCGCTCGCGACCTTGCCTAAAACCTTTTCAGTTCAAAGTCACACTCGTGCTCTACGATTGCTTGCTTTGCTCTCGCCTAGATCAGCTTGTCATGTCGGTCGACCCGAATTTAGGGTAGGTTGGGTTCAGAATCAGATTTTCAACCAATTTATGTAATAGAGCTGGGTTCGACTTGGATCAACTAAGGGCGGTTTAGGTTTAGGTTGAACCAGAACCCGACCCAACAACTCATTTTGACACCCCTACCTCTAAATGAAAAAACCCCTGCACTAAACATCTTCAGGCATCTGTTCATAATATGCTTTTTGTCAAGTTTTTTTTATTGCCAATATTCCCTCCACTCAATTAATTCCAAAACGCTATGCTTCCATCTAAGTCTGACCCCCATCCCTCCATTGCTACAAAGCAACTCAACTAATAGTCTTTCGTTCAGTTCTAAGGAGTGGGATCTCTCCCAAGTGGGTTACACTATCCATAAGCATCCATATTATGAATCTCTCCTCTAACTACAGGAAACCAACTATTTACGTTGGTAAAATCCTCCTTAAAGTTCAAGAAATTCATTGCAAAACTTGATTTGCGACGGATATGATTCCAATGGTAAAACAGATGTCACAAATATATTTACGACAGACAAAAGCCATTACAAATTTTTTTGCTGCGGATTTGTGATGGAATAATCTCTATTAAAATGACGGCTTCATTTTGTGGTCCATCGTAGATTCCGTCACAATTTGTGGAAAATTTGCGGAGAATAATCTGCTGCAATTTGTGACGAATAGATCTGTCAAAAATGTCGATACCAAATCGTTGTATCAACATTTGTGGCAAATTTTTTACCTTAAATCCGCCGCAAATCGGTAACATAAAAAAAAATAGCTCTGATACGTTATCACAAAATAATCTTGATTGGGCACGAATCTCGTGTTCATTCCTTTTTCCTGTTTGTGTGTTAAACTTACGTACAACGCTCAGACGCGAATTTACAAACTCTACCGCCGCGTATTTTCTAACACGCAACAAGCTCATTTAATCATTTTTTTGGCCTTCCAACATTAACAATCCAAACAATTATAAAAAATAGTTATGAAAAATAAATATAATCAAATAATACTACTCAAATAGTGCAAACTAATGAACAAACAATCAAATTCAATAAAATTCAACAAAAGTTATAACATTGCTACCGTTTAAAAAAAATCGTGTTTTTGATATTTTTCTAATCAAATTTGTATTTTTGTTACTAAAAAAATGACAATAATTTTGTATTAATAAAAATTTCACCATGTTTTTTTTATATGTTTTAGAGATTAAGATTATGAACGTTTTGAGCTTTTATTTAATAATTTTAATCTAGTGATTTTAAAAATACAGTGACTTTTATCTACTCATAAATTTATTTTAACATCTAAAAATAATTATTTAGTTCAACTAAAACTTCAAAATATTAGTTTATGTAATAATTGGTAATTTGGTAAAATT